AACCATCACCACAGTCATGATATTGTTGTTGTTCAGTTGCTATGTTGTGTCTGATTCTTTGTGACCCCATAGACTGCAGCACAGCAGGATTCCCTGTCCTTCACTATCTCCCGGAGTCTGCTCAAACTCATGTCCATTGAGTCAGTGATGCCATCCAACCATCTCATCCTCTGTCGCCCCCTTCTCCTCCTGCCCTCAATCTTGACCAGCATCAGGGTCTTTTCTAATGAGTCAGTTCTTCACATCAGGTGGTCAAAATATTGGAGCTTCAGCTTCAGCATCAGTCCTTCCAATGAATATACAGGATTGATTATCACAATCATGATATAGAATATTTCTGTTACATCAGAAAGTTGCCTCGTGGTCATGAGCAATCAATCTTTTCCCTCTAACTTCTGGCCCTTGGCAACTACTTACCTACTTTCTATCACTGTCATTTTGCCTTTTCCAGAATTTCGTGGAAATAGAAGCTTACCTTCTGTAGTCTTTTGTGTATGGCTTCTTTATCTTGGCATAATGCTAGTAAGATTCATTCATATTGCACATATCTCAGCTGTATTTTATTTATGTATTTTTGGCTGCCCTGGGTTTTCACTCCTAGTTTCCCAGGCCATGGGACTGAGTGTCTTATGAACTTATCTGCCCTTTGTGTGCAACCTGAGACACACTTGGCCCTGGGCTCAGCCTGTCTACTTATGCTCGCTCTCCACGGCTTGCACAGCGCCAGCTTCAGTTTCGGTTCAGTTCGCCTTTGGCTGGTCTGCTTTGTGCTCCATTCATGAGTCAGCAAGGGTTCCGAGAGGTGGACAGTCTGATTCTGTTCCTTCTCTAGTATCTTCAGGTAGTTCCTTTTTGAATTGAGCCAAGATTTTACCATGTTTTCTTCAGGGAAGAGTCATGTGGTAGGGTCTAAATCTATCATACCCAGAAGCTAAGTCATAGCTTACTTGTTTCTATTTCACCTTCATTTTTTAAAAAAATATTTGTTTGGCTGCACCAGGTCATAACTGTGGCATGTGGGATCTTTGATCCTCATTGTGGCAGACAGACTCTTTTAATTGTGGCATGCTGGATGTAGTTCCCTGACCAGGGATCGAACCTGGTCCCCCTGCAATTGGAAGTTAGGTAGATACCTAACCACTAAGGTAGATACCTTAGCCACTGGACCACCAGGAAAGTCCCACATTTTCCTCTTTATCATTGGTTTTTTTAGCCATTTGGTTATGATGTGCCTTGATGTAGTTTTCTTCATGTTTTCTCTGCTAGGAGTTTGTTGAGCTTCTTTGATTTGTTAGTTTGTAGTTTTCGTCAAATTTGGAAATGTTTCAGTCATTATTTTTTCAAATATCTTTTCTGTCCTCTCCTCTACCCCACTCTCTCTTTCTGGGACTCTAGTTGTGTGTATATAAGGCTGTTTAAAGCTGTAACAACTCGCTCATGTTCTGTTCATTTTTTTTTAATCAGGCTTTTTTTCCCCCTGTGTTTTATTTTGAATTGTTTCTATTGCTATGTTTTCATAATCAATAATCTTTTCATATTTAATGTTTAATATGCTATCAATCCCATTCAGTGTATTTTTCATCTCCAGAATTTTGATTTGGGTTTCTTTTATATCTTCTATTTACTCTCATGATGCTTGTGCTCTCCTCTACTTTCTTGAACATCTGGTTTCCCTGGCCATATCTGGTTTCCCATAGCTGTTTTAATGTCCTTGTATACTATCAGCAGTATAATTTCTGGATCTGCTTCTACTGGTTGATTTTTCTTCTGCTTTTTTGAGTGACAGGTAATTTTTAAATTGGATGCCAGGTATTCTGAAATTTATGTTGTTGGGTACTAGGATTTTTTTGTTTGTTTTAGGATTTTTTTCTTTTAGATACTTGGGGAGTTTGGAATGGGATGCAGTTCAGTTACTTGGGAACAGTTTAGCCCTTTTACTGTGTGCTTTTAAGCTTTGTTAGGTGGGGCCAGACCACCTCTCAGATGGGGGCTAATTTGGCTTGGTATTGAGGCAGTCTCTTTCTAAGTACTTGATGCCCAGTGTGTTGTGAGGTCTTTAGCTAATGGGAACACCAACTCTTCAGGAGTTCTATCTTTATGTGTGTGGTAGCCTGGAAACTCTCTCCAGATGATGAGCTGGGACATCGGTAGGACTCATCTCGTTTGTTTTCATTCTCTCAGGGATCACTGTCCTACCTATTATCCAATGCCTTAAAACCATTGTTTTATATATTTTGTTCAATGTTATAATTGACTAAGGGAGAGGATAATATCTGGGCTTCCCTGATAGCTCAGTTGGTAAAGAATCCACCTGCAATGCAGGAGACCCTGGTTTGATTCCTGGGTCGGGAAGATCTGCTGGAGAAGGTAATAGGCTACCCACTCCAATATTCCTGGGCTTCCCTTGTGGCTCAGGTGGTGAAGAATCTGCCTGCAATGTGGGAGATCTGGGTTCGATCCCTGGGCCGGGAAGATCTCCCAGAGAAGGGAAGGGCTACTCATTCCAATATTCTGGCCTGGAGAATTCCATGGTCTGTAAGTCCATGGAGTTGCAGAGTTGGACATGACTGAGTGACTTTCACTTTCAAGGGTGAGTCTAATTATAGATCCTGCTGCTTCATCATGGTCGAAAGTAGACATTGCTCTTATTCTTGTTTTTTAATTTATTTTTTAATTGAAGGATAATTGCTTTACAGAATTTTGTTGTTTTCTGTCAAACATCAACATGAATCAGCCATAGGTAACTTTTATTCTTTTAAGTGCTTTTTATTGAAGCTTAGCAAGCACACATAAAAATGTACAAATTCTAAGTGAATGGCTCAATAACCTTCCACAAAATAAACACACCTGTGTAACCACTTCCCATATTAATAAATGGAATGTCACTAGCACCCAAAAACCTCATGTTCCTTTCCAGGTCTTTAGCTCTCCTCCCAGAGTAACCACTATTCTAATTGCTAGCATCACAGAGCATGTTTTTGAACTGTATATAAATGGAATCATGTAGTATGTACTCTTTTGTGTCTGGCTTCTTTCACTCACACTCATTATGTTTGTCAGATTCATCATGTTATGTGAAGCAATAATTAATTCATTTCCACTGCTGTATAGCATTCCATTTTATGAATATAGTGTAGAAATAGTGTTAGTTGCTCAGTCATGTCCGACTCTTTGCAACCCCATGGACTGTAGCCCAAAGGGCTCCTCTGTCCATAGAAGTCTCCAGGCAAGAATACTGGAGTGGGTTGACATGCCCTCCTCCAGGAAATCTTCCTGACCCAGGGATCGAACCCAGGTCTCCTCCATGGCAGACAGATTCTTTACCATCTGAGCCACCAGGGAAGCCCATATACCACATTATTTATCCTACTGTTGATGGGCATTTGAGTTATTTCCAGTTTGGGGGCTATTATTAATAGTGCCGCTATGATCATATTTGCACATATTTTTGTGTGAACATATGTATGTATTTTTAGCAATAGAACTGCTTAGTCATAAAGCTAGGCATCTTTTCTACTTTAGTGGATAACACCAAATAGTTTCCAAAGTAGTTATCCCAATTTACATTCCTACCAGGATAGTATGAGTGTTCTAGTTGCTCCATACCCTCACCAATACTCACTATTTTGCCTTTTGCATTTTAGCTCTTCTGATGGATTTTACTTAATTGCCTTTCAGAACACCATACAGACATAATAAAACCACTGAGTGGAATGAATTAACAGTGTGCCAGTTTGAGATTCCTGTATATAAGCTGTTTCTTCCCAATGGCTTTGAGTATTTCTAAAAGCATCATGTTACTACATTTGTGTTCATCAACATTGTTTGAGCAGAATTTGAAAGCTAAGTGTTTGATGATTCACTAGGTGAAGATATGGTGGGAGGGAAGGCAAACAAAGGGCATTCTTGGCAGAGGAAGCAACATATGGAGAGAAAGTCATAAAAGGACCTGGCTCAGGGCTGCCTGGTACAATTGTGCATGACTCTTAGAACTGTTTTACACTTCATTGTCTGTGGGAATGGCACCTCCAGGAATTGTGCAGCGCACAACCCATCAGGCTGTACACAGAAGCCATACTTGTAATGGTCAGGGATGATAAGAAGTTTGCTGTGACCGGAGGGCAGGGTGGGTAGGGTAGAGAAGCAGGAGAAGCCAGATCCAGAATTGGGGCAATATAACTGACTCAGATTTTGACGGAAGCTTACTTTAAAACTCCACCCTGCCCCCACCTCTACTAGATGAGGGATTATACAAGCTTCCTCCTCTTGGATCCCTCAGCCTCTGAGCCAACAGGGCTGCCACTGAACTGAGGCTGAGGTGAAACCCATGCCAGGAAGGAGAAATGCTGAGCGTGCTCCAGCTTGTCTTGCTACATGACTCTGGTCTCAGCAAGCTGAAGAACCAACACCCTGTCCTTCCTCTCTCTTGGGCTTCCTCTATTACCCGCAGTCTCAGCACACTCCTATGCCTGGGAAAGTTGGGTAACCCTGGATGGGAAGCCATGCCCACCCACCTAACACCTAGGTTTGTGTTACTGAGTCACTGGAGGTGGTTTCTGAAAGCATAAGAAAGTGAAAGGAAAATCCCAGGTCCCCCTCATATCTTGGGGCTTCCCAGGTGACTAAAAGGTAAAGAATCCACCTGCAGGAGCCCCAAGAGTCACCAGCTGGATCCCTGGGTCAGGAAGATCCCTTGGAGGAGGAAATGGCAACCCATTCCAGTATTCTTGCTTGGAAAATCCCATGGACAGAGGAATCTAGAGGGCTATAGTCCATGGGGTTGCAAAGAGTTGGACATGACTGAGTACAGAGCACAGTACCACATATCTCCCCATGACCGGCCAGGGCGAAGGATATCCCTCTGAAAGAAAGATACTTTTGGGGTCGACAGTCTTTGTCTGTAACCCCTCACTGCACTTCGTGTATGTGTGTGTTGCATGATTAAGGGCACTGAATAGTTGAAGTAGGGTCCCTCTGTTGGGATTGGAGGAACTACTCACCATCTGTCAGAAAGGGCAGAGACTTTTCTGAAAAGTTAAGTTTCATGTTCAAGTTCTGCCTTCCTTCCAGTTACTTGGACAAAAAGTATATTCCTTAAAGTAGAAGCCGTGACTGATGGAAAGGCTCCAGGGAATGGCAGAGCGAGACTGTCTTGGCTCTGGCAAAAAAGGGAGTAGCTCTAGAGAAATAAGTGGTAAGATGGCACCTCCCCAGGAGGGCACAAAAGCCAGCACAAGGAACACAGGAAAGGTGCCACGGTTGCACCAGAGCTCTGGGACTGGAGTGTACATGAGAACAGATGTCAGCTGAAGATTCGGACCTGGGACTAAGTGAACAATGATATGAGTAGATAGATACCTTTCCAACCTAGCTTTTTAGTTTATTTTTCTGCTTCTTCACAAGATTAACTTTCTTTTTTCCTTGATTGCGCCATGTGGCATGTAGGATCTTAGTTCCCCCGACCAGGAATAGAACGTATGCCCTCTGCAGTGGAAGTGCAGAGTGCTAACCACTGGACTAGCCAGGGAAATCCCACAAAGTCAACTTTTAAGTCAATCAGCGGGGATATACAGCACACTCAACATGTGTTCCCTGTGACTTGAGGCTTAGGAGGAACAGAGAATGAGAGACACAGGGTCTTCCCTCAGAGAGAGTACTAAGTAACCAGAGAGAGGAGAATAAGGCATCTGAACTGCCTAAGGGATAGTATAACTGATACAACATTTTGTTTTTATTTTGAGCCAAAATGAAAATTAGTATGAACTCCCCAGCACCAGCTGGGCCACAGTGAGAGTGTGAAGCATCCCAGGAGGAAGAGAGGAGCTATCCTGATCCTGAGATCAAAATTGTTTCCAGTTCATCTGTAAGTGTTGACGATCTCTGTGTGAACTATCAAAGAAACTGTAATAGCCCTAAAAAAAAAAATCAACCAGATAGTGAAAGATCATAGCTAATTAAATACTAAAGTATGTGGGCTGAGGGGATCCACGGGTATCCAAGAGGCTCCAGGTGCTAGAAAAGGTCCAGTTCTCTAGGGCTGAAGGACGGGTATGTCTGTGCAGTCACTTAATCATATCCAACTCATGGACCTCATGGACTGTAGCCCACCAGGCTCCTCTGGGGATAAGCAAACAAAAGGCATTCTGGATAGGTGAACAGTGTGGGGAAAAGGCAAAGAAATAATCACCTTCAAAATCACTCCCCCCTCCCAAAAAAAAATCACTCCCATTGCCATTGAATTTTAAAGTTTTCAAAGAATCTTCATAGCCTCGATCTTTTTTTTTTTTTTAATCTTTCAGCAGCCTCAAACATTTGGCAGAAGAGAGATTCCCACTCACAAATTAAGTGAGAACTGGAGAGTATCTACTGATTTTGTTGCTCAGCCTCCCTCTCCTCCCATCTTCTACATCTAGCATCCTGGTTTTCCTTGGAAAAATCTCTCTCTCCACTTGGGCCAACCAGGGTTCTGACTTCATCCCTGAATTCAGGGAGGGCCTAATCAGAACTAGTCTACTACTGAACTACCACAACAGTTCAGGAATGGGTATGTGACCCAAGTAGGCCAATGAGACTCACATCCACAGCCTTTGCTAAAATAACCAAGGAAGAGAATAAAGCCAATGCAGAGGAAAGCAGAGCCCAGAGACCATTTTCTGTTGACACTGGGTGCTTATGTCCAGCTGTGCCTGAAGCCAGTTTATCCTAGGATTTTCCTGAGAGGTAAGCCACTGCATTCTCTTCTTGATTTAAGCCAGTTTGAATTTGATTTCTGTTACTTGCTACTAACAGAGTCCTGGATGATTCAGAAAGCTTAGCCAATATATTTATATTCTGATCCTGTGTTCTTAAAACTATTAATAAGTCTAATAACTGGAGTGACAGTATTATAAGAAAGGATCATTAAGCATGGTGGAGTCTGCCTGGTAGGACCTGACTAAAAGACAAGCTAGGAAGGCAGACAAAGGACAGGGAGTCTCAAAAGTTTCCTGAGACAAGTATCATATGATCTCACTTATGTGTAGAATCTAAAAAGAAATGGTACAAAGGAACTTATTTGCAAAATAGAAGTAGAGTCACAGATGTAGAAAACAAACTATGGCTACCAGGAGAGAAGGGGGTGGGGGAGGAATAAATTGGGAGATTGGGATTGATGTATACAACGACTATATACAAAATAGATAACTAATAAAGACTTACTGTATAGCACAGAGAACTCTTCTTAATACTCCGTAATGACCTACATGGTAAAAGAGTCTTAAAAAAAAGTGGGTATATGTATATGTATAACTGATTCACTTTGCTGTAAAACAGAAACTAACACATGGTAAATCAACTATAATCCAATGAAAGTTTTTAATTCTACAAAAAAAGATTCTTGAACAATTTAAAAAGAGACATTTGAAGAAAATACTGGTACAGGCAATATTCTGTTTCTTAACAGGGGAATAGTTAGGACCCATATATGTTCACTCAATTATACACACGTTTTTTTACTCTCTTCCGAATAAAACCATGATGTAATGTGTACTTTTGGAAAATGAAGAAGAAAATAATGTGGAGGTAGTGATTGCAGAATGGACTGAAGAAGAGAGACCTTGAAATCAGAGATGCAGGAAGGAAGCTGTCTGAGATGGAGGCTTGGGGTAAGGAAGGATGAAGGAAAGCAGTGGAAATATAGATGGAAGCAGGTAGAGAGGTAAGAGATGCTTCCTGCATGAATGAGGGCATGAGAAAAATACAGCTCCAAATGCTGGAAATGATGATGAGATAGGGTAGTTGAGAGGGAAAGACCTGGCTGGGGATGTTAAAGGGGTGTACATGGTTATATTTTGAACTTATTCAGGTGGGAACATCCCAAAAGTGGGTCTGTAATATCAATATCATTTGGTTGGAAGGAACAGAACCCTTGTTGAGTTAACTCGTGTGGGGATCTGGGAAGTCAGAAATGGAGGCTCTTCTCTTTATATCTCTGGGGCGCACGTGGTCTTTCCTTGGCTCTCGTCTGCATCTGCCAACCAGGTCCTTCTGCGTCTTCAGAGGGAGGGCCCCCCTGGAAGAAGTTGGAGTGCCCTGGGAACCTCACAGGTAGGCAAAGCCATCGTTACAGCAGCTGAGTGAAGGCACCCTGTGGAAATTCTGTCCAAAATGTCTAGAAATGACCAGCTGGGTGACGAACAAGTCCTGGTATAGACAAGGTGTAAGGTCTGTGTTCAAGGAAAACCACAGGAAAGAGAACTTGGTTTGAACCTGGGAAAGAAAAACAGCAAGGCTGAGAACAGAGGCCAGGCGTGGCTGATGTGGACAGGGATGCAAGAAAGGCCTTGTGGCCAGTGACGTTCTCCATAGGACTCTTGCTTTCAGCTCACACAGGCGCTCCCACCCCCAGCCTGCCTCCAGTTCCCCTTCGCCTCCCTTCCTGAAGGGAAGTGAACTTCAAACTCCTTCCAAGCTGCCTGTGCTCCCTGCTCCCCTTCTCTGCACTCCTCTCCCCTCAGTCCAGGCCTACCCTGCTGGCACTCCTAGAAGCATGCCAGCAAGGTCTCCAAGGACTTACTGGTCGCCATATCCAGGCAACAGATAATCCTCAACTCTAATCTTATTTCACTCATTCATTAGTCATTCATTCACTTATTCAAAGAATATCTGTTAAGAGCCACTGTTTGCCTGGTGCTGGGGGTATGATACTGAGCAAGACCCATTAGGTACAATTTCCCGACAGAGACAGTTGTCTACTTCTTCCTAAGATGCCATACACTCATGCACACACACTCAGGCATACTCAGAGAGGCACACGCACTTGCTTTTTCTATTTACACCTTCCCTGAAGCCTCTACTAGGGATCCAGCTGCTAGGCATGCAATCTACATGGGACACAGACAAATGGGAAGGAAGTTGGGCCAGTAGCCTAAGGAAGCTGGGAGGAAGAGGGCCAGACGGCCTGGAGGAGCACCCCAGGATGTTCTCATCGTCACTTGGCCATTTGGTAGGGCCCGGGGAGTGTGTAACTCTGAATGGCAGGCACCCAGTGGACAAGGGCACACAGCCAGGATCTCAGGTTCTGGCCACTTCAGGCAGTTCTCCAGGCAAGGCACTTCCCAGAGGGCCAGGGAGGGACCCAGGGGAATGATTGCAGCCTTTGGGGAGGCAAGCCATCTGGGCGCATGCCTGCTACATCATACTCCTTCACTGAACCCTGGCTTTGCTCCTGAGCGTGAAACTCCTAGAACTGTCCTCATGAGGAAGGGAGTCTCTGGGCAGGACCCTGAGTTCCGGGTTGGACACTGGCACCCTATAAATTCGAGAAGCCAGCCTGTCAGGGGCCTGGCTGGTTGAACACTCAAGGGTTCTGGTGATGGAAGATCCCAGAATTTTCCTCTTTCTCTTCCTAGGGAATTATATAAAGTAAATGAAGAATAAAAAGGAGGAGAAAGAAGATGGGGGAAGGAGAAAAGGACTAGGAAAGAAAGGAGGAGATGCAGAAGAAAAGCATTTTTTTTTTTAGAAAAGCATTTTTAAAAACACCACCCAAATCATAGTACTACTATTTCTCTGCTTAAAACCTTTAAATAACTTCCCATTGCTCTTTGGATAACTACACCCCTCCCTCACCCCTCTCCCAGTCCCTCCTCACCCCTTCCAGTCATAGGAGGCCTGCTGGGATGTGTGCACACAGGTCTTGTGGGAAATTCCCCCATGTGAAACAGAAGGAGCAGCTTAACAGGCTCATCATAAGGAGCTACAAGAAGGGGGGTTTTAGGGGAACACCATGGCAGTTCAGTGGTTAGGAGCTGGTTTTCACTGCCGAGGATACAGGTTCAATCCCTGGTCAGGGAACTAAGATCCCCAAAACTGTGCAGGCAAATGGGTCAGTAGCTTAGTCGTGTCCAACTCTGCGGACATGGACTATAACCCACCAGGCTTCTCTGCCCATGGGACTCTCCAAGCAAGCATACTGGAGTGGGTTGCCATTTCCTTCTCCAGGGGATCTTCCCAATCCAGGGATCGAACCTGGGTCTTGTGCATTGCAGGCAGATTTTTTTTTACCA